TAATATGGGTGTTGCAGGAGCTGGGCAGTCAGAATGGCAATCATCTCTCATGCCCAGGAAGGTGGCCAGTCCCCAGGCACACACACTGTTATAGACAGAACCGTGTTCCTCACAATTCCTGTGTTGAAGCCCTAACCCCCAGTGCCTCAGAATGTGACTGTATTTGGAGAGAGGGTCTTTAAAGAGGTAACGAAGTTAAGAGGTCATTAAGTAAGTTCTTGAGGGTGGGATGTAATCCAGTCTGACTGGTGTCCTTATAAGAAGAGATTGGGACACAGAGACACCCGGGATGCTGCAGAGGACAGACCGTGTGAAGAGGCAGCAAGAGGGCGGCCGTGTGCCAGCCAAGGAGAGAGGCCCCAGAAGAAACCAACACTGCTTCCAGCCTCCAGAACTGTGAGGAAGTGCTGTTTAAGCAGCCTGGTCTGGGGCACCTTAGCTGGCGCAGGCTAATCCACCCACCCACCATCACGGTGTTGTGGACGTGAGCGGTGACGGAGGCGGAGTGCACAGGGCAGGGGTCAGTGATGCGAGCTGACGGGCAGCAGCAACAGCGTGTGCAGAGGCTTGGAGGCAGGAAGGGCCATCACCCTGGCCCCTTGACCCAGCTTTCCGGGCCTTCTCCTCCCCTCCCTGTGGAGAAGCCAGAGGCCACTGCAGCCGCGTCCTGGCCCTCCCTTTTCGGCCTCTACCACTGGTCCCAGGCTTGCATTCATCAAGGAAGAGCCACAGTGGCTGCCTCTTGGCCCTAAATTGTGAGATTTCACTCCAAGGGGGCATTCTACCAAAAGAGCTTTCTGGTTTATGATTCTGGGTTTACGATGCTTTGACTAAACAGGAGAAGTGGTGAGCTGCCTGTCATGAGGGGTGTACAAGCAGACCTGGAAGGGGCTGGACCACTGTGTAGTAGAAAGATTCGGGGCAGGGTGGGGTCAATGAACTGTATGTAGGGTCTTTTCCCCTTGAAATTAGCACAGACGGGTGTCTGTTAGGGTCTGGTGAGTGGCCCCGAGGTCAAGCTGGTGGCAGGGGAAGGGACTAGGTCACCTGCATTCTCCCTCTCTGCCTGAAACCCCAGGCTGCAGATGTGGTGTCTCGCTCTGCTGCGGAGGGTGAACCCAGAGCTTCTCCCTGTGCGCCTTCTCGGGGCAAGGTGCGATGCTTGCCATGGAGCTGGGGCCTTGTGTGGTAACACAGGGCTGGGTGGGCCTTTGGGAGCATTACCTGGCTGCCCTGTGTGTGTGTCGGGTGGGGGGGGTTGTTCGGAACCCCACCCTGTCCCATGAGTCACCCCAAAGGTACACAGCCAGGTAGGTCCTGGGGAATAGACTATTCCCCAGCGCTTGGTATGTCCCACTCACCACCACCCCCAGCCCTTCCTGGACCCTCTGGGCATCCTGGTCCCACCCTCTTCACACTAGGCCACATGCAGCAGCCCTGGCTGAATGCAGGGCCAGGAGGGACTCCTCAAGCCCTGTGGGTCTGGGAAGGAGCCCTCATACCTGGGCCTGGGTGGACAAACGGAGCCAGCTGGGGCCCCAAGCGGGCTGTGGGTGTGGACACCCCTGGTACCCAAGGGAACTTGTCCCAGATCAAGCTGAGAGGGGACACTGAAGATTGCCTACATCTGTGGTGTGTGATTAAAAGTAGCATTTCACATCAGTAGGGAAAGGACTGATTTTTCAGTATTTTAGGTTTTTTTCAGTATTGGGGTTTTTTTGGAGGCTTTGTTACGTAGGCATGATTGATTAACCCATTGGCCATTGATGATTAATATAACCTCCAGCCCCTCCCCCCTTCCCAGAGGTAGGGGGGATGCAGCTGGAAGTTCTAACCCTCTAATCGGGTGGCTGGTTCCCCTGGCAACCAGCCACCCCCTTCCTGTGGTTATCTAGGGGATTTCCAAAATCACCACATCAACATAAACTCAGGTGTGGTTGAAAGGAGCTTGTTATAAAAAACAAAAAACAGGCATTTCACCTTTATCCCTCTGGAGCTATTTCAGGGAACAAAGGATGCTCCTTTAGGAGCTGTGGGCTGCCCGTACCACAGACAAAGACTATAATATATATCAGAGTAGCCATAGGTAACTGATACAAGGACGCGTACCAAACTAAGGAGACTGGATGCCTAGGCGGGGAGGGCAGGAGTGGGATAGAGATGGGCGCGAAGAGAAAAAATTAAAAAATAAAAGCAGGACCTTGTGCAGAGCAGTAATGAAGGGTGCCAGAAAAACTGAGAAGGAAACGTAATCCTTTGCTCCTGCAAGGCCTCCCAATTAAACACAGATGAAAAGGGGAAAGAGAGAGAGTCCTGCCTGGGTATTAGAAGACCGAGGGTTGGTTTCCAGCCCTGCCACTGACCGTCCACGGGGCTGAGAAAGTTCCTCTCCCCGTGGGGGCCTGGTTTTCTCATCTGTATTATGAGATTAACAATCGTGCCTGCCCTGCCTGCTTCTGGGGATCTGAGATGAGTCGATGGGCAAGAATGTACTTTCAGAAGGAAGAAGCTCTTCCCATGTTATGATGTCTGCTTTCAACTGCCTTTCAAAAGACAAAAAGAGGGGAAAAAAGTAAATCTATATACTTATCAATATACATTATATTACAAAATATATGTGTATTATAAGTATATATTATATATACATATGTTTTGTAAGTATACATATATTTACATATAAGTATATGTATTATATATACATATAAGTATATATTGATATAGAGAGAGTAACATAGTGTGTGTGTGTATATATATATATAGTAAATATATATATATATATATATATATATATATATATGGGAGGGAGAGGCTTGAGAGCAAATATAGCAAAATGTTTACAATTGTTGAATCTGGGTGGAGGCTGTATGTATGGGCATTCTTCGTACTATATATTTTCAACTTTCCTAGGTATGACCATTTCTGTAATAACAGGCTGGCGAGATAAAGAAGCCTTTCCGGGGCTGGGTCTGACCGGGATTCGCCGGCTGGGCCCCAGCTGGACCGGCTCGTGTCCCCCTCTCTTCCACGTCTGGGTCCAGGAGCGCTGGTTCCGCTCTCTCAGAGGCCCACACACCTGCTTAACGTTCTACCTGCGCGACCTCCGTGTCCCATGACTAAACGTTGATCTCAGGATGACCTGCATCTCAAGCCCGTCCAGGTAACTGCCAGACGCTGAAGTGGCCGCTTCGCGGACGGCCCTGTGCCAGCCCCTGCGAGCCCACCCCCTCCTCCCTGCCACCCCGTGAGGAAGGAGGGGCGGTTCCTGCCTTGAGGAGCTTCCAGCAGGAGGAGGGCCAGGTGTGCACAGGGATGCACTTGATATAACAATACATTTTATTGCAATGATTATAAGATGGAGGTACATGCCAGGTGCTGGGAGGACTTTAGGGGAGGCACCAAAGCCAACCAGGGGACAGTTTCTAGTGATGCCAGACCCTGGGGTAGGTAGGACTGAAGGACAAGGGTTCGCTGGGTACTTACTGCAAGGCAGCGAGGGCCCTCCGGGAGGAGCCTGGCCTGAGCCACCTGAGAGGGGAGAAGCCTTAGAAGAGGGGTCCCAGCGACCTTTGGTTTTATTGTGTTTTTTTGTTTGTTTGTTTTAAAATATTTATTTATTTTGTGGTTGCATTGGGCACACGGGATCTTTTTTGTTGCAGTGTGCGGGCTCTTCGATGCGGTGCACGTGGGGTCTTAGTTCCCCTGCATTGCAAGGCGGATTCTTAACTACTGGACTACCAGGGAAGTCCCTCAGCGGCCTTTTGGTTGAGGCTCTCCAGGCGCACACTCAACTCCCCCGACCTCGTCTGCCTTCCCGAGTTTTTCCGCTCTGCTTTTGGCCCCCAGTTCCTTGGGGGCTGAGTCAATCACTGGTGAAATGCAGTAATGTTCAACCTTGAAAAGTCTGGAACTAGCTCGTCCGAGTAGAGAGTTGGTCACAAAAACCCTACTAGGTAATAACATAGTGTGGGTAGGAATATTCTCCTTTTTCGAAGTTCACTGAAATAAACAATTTGCACAGTTTAAGTATATTGGGAAAGGAAGATAATGCAGGTGAGCTGGTAATCAAATAGATTATATATTTGATTATATAGAGATATAAATTAAATGTGTTTTAATAACTAAAGAATATTTATAATTAATTGTTTAAAAAAATTTTTAAGTGCTCCGCAAAGGAGTTTGAGTTTTAGGAGGGTGACTCCAGTCAGCTATGGAGCTGGGCCGGCGGGGGTGGGGGCTGGTGCTTGGGGCAGGGGACCACCCTGAGGGTCTGCTGCTCCAGTCCAGGTGAGAGGTTGTCGGTACACTCTCTGCCCGCCGGCCCTGGGCCCCATCCGGGCACCTTCTGTCTCGAGGAGGGATTGCCCTGCTCTGGCAGTGGCCAGAGATGGAGGAAGGAGAGAGGGCAGGTCACCTGGATAAGGAGAGGAGGGAGGGTGATGTTGGGGAGCCCCCTTCCGGGGCCAGGCAGTAGGGGGACAGCAGGGAGGGAGTGCCCCTAGGCTTGCCTTGGGGGGTGATGCTCCAATTCTGGGTCTGGCCCGGCTGGCTGGGTGGTCTTGGACAAGCCCCCTTCCCTGCTCTATGCCTCGTCTGAGAAATGAGGATAACTCCCTTCTGCAGAGGGGGGGCCGTGGGGAGCCGTGGTTGCCAGGTTGGGGGACCATTTGGACAAGGAGATTCCACAAGGCACGGCAGGGCTGTCCCTGGGGCTGCCTGGACCCCAGGACTGGCTCTTCTTTCCGTGGCCCCTCCCCAGCCAGGCCCTCCTGGAGCGGGGGTGGGGTGCAGTTTTCCTCTTCAGACCCCTCCCTCGCAATGCCAAATCCTTGGGGCCAGCACATTCAGCCCCTAAGCGGTCCAACCAGTTGTCTGGGAGAAAGGGGGCACGTGGGAGGGGCAGCAGGAGGTGCCAGAAGCAGCCTCCCCCAGCCCAACACGCACAGCGGAGCCTCTGGGGCTCTGGATGCTGCAGACAGACCCTCAGACAGACAGACAGTTGGACGCTTGGCCTGGCCATGAGGCTCAGCGGGGGACAGTCTTCTCTTCTGACGGCACTGTTGCCACTGCTGACCTGCCTCCATCTGGGGATGAGTCTGGGTGAGTGAGGGTCGGGCAGGGCAGGGGTGCCTACTGTGCTTCAGGCTTAAGGAATACAGACCCCACCTCCCCCGCCGCCTCCTGAGCCCCGAGTCTGGGGACTGGGTGCCAGGTGGGTCAGGGGAGACAGCCCACCAGAAGAGGTCACAAGACAGACACCAGTCCCCCTACCCCCCGCCCCAAGATTGGGAGCAAGGAATGCTTCCTCCCTCTCTTTGGGCTTCTCATCTCTGTGCCTCCTGAGCCTGATTCTCACCAAATGGCTCCCTCCATCCCCTCCTTCCCCTCCTTCCCCTCCTTCCCCTCCTTCCCCTCCTTCCCCTCCTTCCCCTCCTTCACCTCCTCCCCGGCCCGAGGAGAGGTTTAAAGAAGTCTTCAAGGATAACACTTACCCCAAAAGAAGCTCTCCAAGGGGGTCTACAGTCATTTTTCACTGTTGGGCTCTCAAACTGGAGGGACTTAGAGATGCAGCCCCCATGCCCCCATCTCTGCTGTTTCATGTCTTTCCTCTCTTTTAAGCAAACATTGAGTACCTGCTGTATGCCGTGTGCCCTGGGCCTCAGCGTTAGAGCCAAGAGCTCTGAGAGAGGAGGGTTCTAGCCCTGAACCCTTGGGGTTGAGCTGAATTAAATGGAAATGAATTGCATTGAACTGAACTGAAAGAGGGAGAGGGTTCTGGAGACTTCCATAAAGCCCACCTCATCTTCTGCTCTCCAGTATCTGGGGCTGAGGGACACCTCAGGGGGCCTGGAGAGGAATTAGGGGTTCTGAGCTCTCCAAGCAGAGCAGCAAGGCTAGACAGAGCTGTGAGGGGCTGAGAGGGGGACAAGTTCTCTAAGGGGAGGGAGCCTTGGGGCGGGGTGGGAGGTGCAGAGCACTGGGTGGGCAGGAGAGGCCACCCTAGGATCTGAGCCAGGACACTTCCTCGAGGCCCACCTTTGGGCCTAGGGTCTTCCTGTGTCACCCCCGCCCCACCCCCAAGCCATTCATTCCTCTCATTAAGCAAACCAACCTAGACTGTGTGGATGGAGCTGGGGGGTACTTGAGAGGTGGGTAAACTGAGGCCCGCAGAGCGTCAGAGCTCAAGGTCACTGGGCTCTGTCAAGAGCCCGGCCTAAGGTTTGGGCTTGGGCTCAGGCTGCCCCAAATCTGAGTGTCACCCCAGCAGGACCTAAGACGCCTCCCCCAGAAGAACTGTGCATGCAGCTGGGGAAGGGTCTCCTGTGCCTCCACCTGTCCTCCTTCCCCAGGCCCTGCCCATCACTGAGACCCCGGTGACGCAGGGGGGCAAGGCCTCCCCCCGACCTCCCACAGTGCCCACCCCTAATAGGCTCCCAAGGCAGGGGCCAGGGGCCGGACACGGAAGTGCCAAGGAGCATTCCTGGTTAACGCCTGACCAGAGCTCCCAGGAAAAGCCCTAACTCCTCCCACTGACGGGGGCTTCCAGGACCATGAGCCCGTCCCCCCCCAGATGAGGCGCTGGGGACTTGGTCATGCTGTTGAGCCTCTTCTCTCTGCCCGCACCGGCCCCAGAGCGCATCAGCTACGCGCCCCAGCTCTCAAGCGCCACCCTGGCAGGGAGACTTACCCAGCCCACCTTCACACTGGAGCAGCCGCAGGGCCAGTTCAGTCACCTTAACGTCGCCGACTTTGACGCCATCTGGCTGGTGTTGGCCCACAGCCATGGTGGGTGCTGCTGGGGCAGGCCTCGCTTTCCCCTCTGTGAAATGGGCAGGCGGGCCTGAAGGGAGCAGGGGTAGGTGCTGCCAGGGATGTGGCCTGAGGCTGTCTGGCCTGGCGGGATGGGGTAGCGCCCATGCATCCCCCACCTTCTGACCCTTGGTGCCACCCTCAGCCACCCAGAGCTTCACTGCCCCACAGAGGGTGGAGGACACCCCGGTCCCTGCCAACTTGCCCCAGAGGGGCTACTACGTCACGCTGAGGACCAGCTGAGCACTCTACCCGGGCGGCCAGCCCGGCAACGAGCTCTGGGTCCTCCGTGTTGCCAACGATACCCGCTGCTCCCCGATGACAAGAGGCTGCCACCAACCCCTGCCGGGCCCGGGGCCCTACCGGTGAGCGGCCAGTCCCGCGCTGGGGTGGGAGCGCTCCTGCCTGTGTCCAGACCTGAGCCTGGGTGGCTCCCAGCTGAGTGCCTGGGTTCCTGGCTCCAGTTCTGCCATTAGGAGTAGGGGGCTGGGGCCTGGGAGTCCGCGGTGAATTCTTCCGTCTTCTTGAGCAGAGGGCCCCCAACTTGAGCCCCCGCCCCCATGGGCCATGTGGACCATGTGGGTGGAGTCTCCCCATCCAGGCAGAGTGGTGGGCCCTGGCCCCATCTCTCCTCATTCAGGGCTTGATTCACTGACGTTCTGTGCTGAGGCATCTAGTCCGCTCCACACACATTTCCCAAGAGAGGACCCTAAGGGTCGCAGAGAAGGCAAGGGATGCACCCAAGGCCACACAGCTGAGACATCCCAGTCACAGCTGGGATGGAGCCCCTTCCGGTGGACTCTAAGGCTGTGCTTTTAGCTCTAGGCTGTTCCCCCCAGGCCCTGGGAGTCAGGGGGAGAGACTGACAGGCACCAGGGTTGGAGGGTTTCAGGTCCTGGGGACCCCCCCACCCCCAATGCTGGGTCTCCTGTTCAGAGTGAAATTTCTGGTGGTGAGAGACAGGGGACCCATGGCTGAGACAGAGTGGTCCAGTGAGACCCACCTGCAGCAAGGTATGGGGCCAGGTGTGCAGCTCACAAACTCTAGGGCTGGGGGCCCAGGGACCTGGGGGCTCCTGAGGACTCGGGGTAGGTGGGGAGGAATGGGCCAGCCCCTAGTCAGTCAGAGCCACCGTTACCATCCTGCTGTCTGCAGGTGCCCCTCCCCAGGCCGCCTGCAAGCCCCGCCCCCATTGGGCTGCGGTGAGAGGTGGTTGGTCTGGAGGCTGTTCCAGGCCCCCCTTCTCAGGTCAGATCTCTTTCCTCCCTTCTCACCCCACCTGCCTGTGGGCCCCCTCACACACTCAGCCGAGGCACTCCAGGCTGCCCCAGGGCCCCACAGCGCGGGCACCGTGGTCATCGTTGCCATCTTGTCGGTCCTGCTGGCCGTCGTCCTCACCACCCTCCTCACCCTGCTCATCTACACCTGGTAAGTGGAGAGGGTCGGGACTGCCCTGGGAGGGGTGGAGTCCCTCTCCTGGGCCACCTCTATCCTTTCCCCACGCCCCGGCCCAAGCCCCCAGCCCAGGCCCCCAGCCCAGCTTGTTCTGCTGGAAGGGTTTTCCCTGAAGGCCGAACAGGGCTAACAATTATTGATCAAGGGATCCCCAAGGTTCTAGAACCTCTAGGTGGGGGTGGTGTGTGCATTAACCCCTCCCTCTCTTGTCCCTCTGCCTGACACCTGCTGAGGGGTTGCGGGGGCACATTTTCTGAGTGCTCACCATCTGCCCCCTGGTGGCAAGAGCTGGAATTGCGAGTGGGAGCGCAGAGCAGATGTTCCAGGTGGAAGACATCCAGGTGGAGGTGAATTGCTTTTAATCTAAGCGCTGAGCTTTGACTTGAGCGCTCAAGGCTTCATCTGGGGTCTGGTGGGGAGTGGGTGTCCACAAGGCTTCCTGGAGGAAAGGGACGTCTGGTCCCTGACGAGGATTTGGAGAGGAGGGGGAGGGTCTGGGGGCAGAAGAGTGGCTAGGAAGGCCTGGGCCTTGATCCCAGCTGAGGAAATGGGCTGTATGCTGAAAGCTAGAGAGCGCCAGTGGCAGCTGTGATCAGGGGAAACAGGCAGATGGTGTTTTAGAGGCATCCTGGGTGTGGGGAGTGGGGGAGGGGAGCGTTGCGGTGGGGTGATGACAAAGGGCAGGGAGACAGAGCTGGATTTGTGAGGTTTAGAGGAATAGCGCTCCAACCTCTAGGCAATAGCCATCAGATTTCCATGAGGCCCTGCATTCTTCATTCTCTCCATCTCTCCTCCCCTCCCCGCTCCCCCCCAGCTACGACAGCTGTGGGAGCACGTCCATCTCTGGCCCAGGGGAGCTGGCGTGCATGAGAAGATATAACACCCACCACATGTTCAGCCCTTCAGCCGAGGGGAGCTCCTGAGAGGCTCCAGGGGGCCCCCATCTGCCCCTCTGCCTCGCCCCTGGTCCAGGCTGCAGAGCATGGGCTAGGGGCTCGCCCTGCTGCTTCAGAGCCCTGGGAGAGAGTGTTTCCAAATAAGGAAGGTGGGGAGGGTGTCCTTAGTCCAAAGCTTGGGCCTGTCCCTGTCAGAAATAAATGTCCCCATTATTGGGGACAGCCCCCTGAATGGCTGTGTCATTGTACACCTGGGCAGTCTCCCTGCATCCCTGTCCCCAGCTCCTCTTGGGAGGATACAGCTACCGGGGGTGAAGCCCAGGGTCCTAGGCCAGCTGAGCCATTGGGGCAGGGCAAGCCTCTCTTCTGGCCTCAATGGCCCTGTCTGTAAAGTGGGGATGATTCCAGTGGTCCCACTGGGCCCGATGAAGCCAAACCAAGGAGGTGATCATGCTCACCTGCCCTGCGTGTCTGGCACTTGCTGGCGCCACCCCCCGCCCCCCACCTCCTCTTCTTCTTCTTTTTTAAAAATATTTATTTATTTATTTATTTATTTATTTATTTGGCTGCACCAGGTCTCAGTTGCGGCACATGGGATCTTCGTTGCCGCGTGCGGGCTTAGTTGCTGCATGGGGGATCTAGTTCCCTGACACAGGGTCGAACCGGGGCTCCCTGCATTGGGAGCGCAGAGTCTTAACCACCGGACCACCAGGGAAGTCCCCCCGCCTCCCCTTTGTGGTGTCCCTCCATCTGGCCTCTCCTCCTGGCTGGAGGACTTAGAGCTTCTAGGCTTCACCCCGACCTCTGTGCTCACGCCGGGGTGGGGGTGTGGAAATGCGTGAGAAGCTGCAGCCCCTGGAGATGCCTGGGCTCAGACTCGGGCCCCAAACCTAATGCAGGGCACCAAGCACCTTTCATCATCCACTCCACTCCAGGCCAGGCCCCCCTGGGGCCAAGATGACCCAGCAAGGTTCTGTCCTCAAGTCACCCACCACTGTGTGGGAGAGGAGGGGAAACCAGCCAGCACAAGGGATGGAGGGAGTGCAGAGGTTTGAGGGCCGGAGGAGGCTTCCTGAGCAGGCGTGGCCTTGGAGGAGGGGCCGCACTGTGACAGGTGGACCTGGGAGGGGGACCCAGGCAGGATCAGCAGCGTGTACAAAGGCCTGGAAACCATGGTGACTGCTGGGTGGGCAGGTTGGGGACAGCTGGAGGGTGGGGTGAGGGACTGCGAGGAGGCCAGGGGATGCCCCTTGTTACGTGAAAGGCCTCACCCCCTGGGGCATGGGGCAGGGAAGGAGGGCTCTGGCTGCATGCCCAGGTGCCTGTGTCCGGGTGGTGCAAATGGCCCTAATGGGTTTATTAAGCCGGTGCACACGCATCTGGCTCTTGCTGTGGAGGAAATGGTCACATGACCGGCCTGGGAGGGGCAGGGAGGGTAGGGGGGCACACAGAATTCCAGCCTCTCTGCCCAGCTAAGCCTTGATCTCTCCACAGCCTTTCCAGAGCAGCCATGAGCCCCAACCCTGGGGCTGGGTGACCTTGGACAGATCACTTACCCTCTCTGGGCCTGTTTTCCCCTTAATGTAAAAGCGAAGGTTGAACTGGGTAACTCTAAGGCCCTGCACTCCACCAGCACCCAGTATGGGTCAGACACTGGCAGGAAACAGATGGCACGCTGTCTAATGGGGCAATTGAAAGCATTTACAAGGGTTTGGGCAGCATATTAAGGGGACCCAGGGCACCGATGGGGCCATAAGCACTCCTGTCCCTGAGGGGCTGGTGGTGTTTCCAGAGCCAGTGGGCAGGAGCCACGGGCAAGGGTATGCCTAGCAGGAGCGGGGGGCTGTAGGTAGAGGGAGCCAGGGGACTAAATACCCCGGCCTTTCTCCTCCGGCCTTCTGATCGCGTGCTGACCACACCTAACCAGAAGCAAGAGGGCGGGGGGTCTGGACGGTGTGGTCCATGTGCCAGCTAGACCTGCGTCCAGAGCAGGACAGAGAGGGGCCAAGAATGGCCTTAGAGGGTACTGTGATCTGTTTTTTACTCACAGCACTTCTGACACCGAATGTGTGGGGTTTTCCTGTTTGTTTTTTATTTTTATTTTGGCCATGCCAAGTGGCTTTCAGGGCCTCAGTTCCCTGACCAGGGATTGAACCCGGGCCACAGCAGTGACAGCGCCGAATCCTAACCACTAGGCCACCAAGGAACTCCTCAAATGGGTGGGTTTTTCTCACACCAACCAATTCTCCAGCTCTCTGGACACCAACTGGGTGTCCTGCAATTGAATTCAATTCTGACACTAATTCCCTGGAGTTAGTGCAGACCCCACAGGTAAAGGGCTCAGTCCCACAAGATCGCCCCCACCTAGATGCCAGGAATAAGTATGGGGCACCCGCACGTCTATTCAACTTGGTTACAAATATCTTATTCCCATGATCCCCTCCTCAGATTCCATAATTTACTAGAACGGCTCACAAAAGTCAGGAAAACAGTTCACTTACTATTACTAGATTATTATAAAGGATACAACTCAGGAACAGCCAGCTAGAAGAGATGCACAGGGTGAGGTATGGGGGGAGGGGTGCTGAGCTTCCATGCCCTCTCTGGGGGCACCACCTCCCAGCACCTCTGTGTGTTCATCCACCCGGAAGTTCTCCAAACCCCATTGTCTAGGGTCTTTATGGAGTTTCCATGACATACGCACAATTGATTATCATTGGCCATTGATGATTGAACCAACCCCAGTGCCCTCCCTGGAGGCTGCTTAGGGAGAGTGGGGGGATAGGGCTGAAAGTTCCAGCCCTTTAGTCACATGGTTGGTTCCACCCTAAAGCTATCTAGGGGGAATTCCCTCGTGGTCCAGTGGTAGGACGCCACGCTTTCACTGCCAAGGGCTGGGGTTCGATCCCTAGTCAGGGAACGAAGATCCTGCGTGGTGCAGCCAAAAAAATTAAAAAAGAAAAAAAGCTATCTAGGGGCCCACACAGAGTCACCTTATTAGCATAAACTCAGGCATGGTTGAAAGGGGCACCCCTTATGGATAACAGAAGATGCTCCTCTCACACCAGCACTCAGAAAATTGCAGGGGTTTTAAGAGCTCTGTGCCCAAAAACCAGACAAAGACCAAACGTGTGTTACTTATTATATCACAGCATCACAGAGGGGGCACAGGCCGCCTTTGTGCTGATCCTGTGGAATCAGATCTTTCCCCACCTTTGTGGGCTCCAGACTAGAGAAAGGGGCCACAGAGTCCTGTCCCAGACGGAGGGCTGCCTGAGGCCAGGGTTGGGCGTGCAGAGGGGGCTCTGCAGAAGCTGACCCCTGAGTCGTGGAGTACAGCGATCCTGGCCGCCTCTGACCGGATATCCCAGAGGGCCTTCAGGCAACCATGTTACCCCACAGCCAAACCTAGAGCTGCCCCCAGCCCCAAACCTCCTCCTGGTTCCCTGGTCCTCCAGCCCCCGAGTTGAGTTCTGAAGACGACCCCAATCAACCTCTGTCCCGGACCACAGGCCCCCACGGGGAACATGCACCACTTTCTGTGACAGGCACAGCCTGGCCACAAAGTTTAATCCAGCTCCCTGGGACATGCCCGGTGCTGAGCTCAGAGCCCAGCCCGGGGCTGGTGGGATGCCCCACCCCCAACCAACCCAGGCTCCCCGTGGAACCTCAGCTGTGCCTGGCCTTGCTTCCCCGGGCTCTTCTGGGGCCTGGGAGTCCAGGACTGGCTGGAAGGGAAGGCCCGAGCCAGGGTGGCTGGCCCCATAGAGCTGCTGACGGTGACCCCTATGGAGCAGAGAGGGAGCCTCGGCTCCGGAGCTGTGTCGTGGGACCTGCTCTCAGGGAGCGCTGTGCGGAGCAGTGCCCTGGAGCTGCCAGGGCCCTAGGAGGGTCCATATCCGGGCCCCAGCCCTGGCATCCTGTCTGACCCTCCTCAATTTTCTCATCCGTGAAAAGGATGGAAGAGATGAGCGGTAGGGTCCTCAGGTCACTCAGTCCCTCCGTGTTCATTCATTCACTCATTCATTCATTCCCACACTCAGGGGACAGTCACTGACTTCAGTGCTGGGCCTCAAGGACTGCATCAGTGAGAGGTAGACTTGCACAGAGATAACAAGGGGGCCATCATGGGACAGAGGGCGCTGACACTGCTGCTGGGAGCAGGGCCTGGTGGGGTGACACTGACCACAGGGTGCGGCACATCAACCCACTCAGCCCTCCAGCTGTCAGGCACACAAGCCTGAGGAAAACAGACTCAGGGACGATGGCCTTGAGCCATGAAGTGGTGCCACACGTCACCTGATGTCAACCTGATAAATGGACCAACAGATCAGGGCAGAGGACCTGCTGTATCCCGCTGCCTTTCTGCCCGTTTTTCTGGCGCTCTCTCTCTCTCTCTCTCTCTCTCTCTGTATCCTCTCCTCTTATGTTTCTCTGCCTCTGACTACAGTCTTTTGTCTCTGTTTTTAACTCTGACAAGCCATGGGAACTCTCTCACTCCCTGGGGGGAAGCCGTCTGAGCTGAGAGGTGGACACGACCGTTTCGCAATAAACACAAGATAAAATCAGAAAACTGGCTCCTGTTCCAGGTTTGGGCTCAGTAGGGGAAAAGGGCAAAAGGGAAGCAGAAGGACGAGGGAGAAAGACTATGTGTGTCAGGGATGGGGACCGTTCACAGCCCATCACCCCAACCGGCAGGTACAGAGGGGTCACCCCGGGCCCCTCCCCCAATGCCCTTTGCAGCCTCCAGGCTCCCCATCTCCATGCCCTGGTTCCTCTCCAGACACCCGGTTGTCCCCTGCGGCGGGAGCCCAGGTAGTCCCAGGGAACTGTTCTGCCCCCCCTTCCCCACAAGTGTGTGTTTACATGCCCTCTTTGGCATGGATCTGGGGCTCTCCTGGGAATGCTGGCTCACACAGTAAAGTCTGAAGATCTAGGCGGTGCTGGAAGCCAGGCAAGCAGGAGGGGCTGTGAGGCCCGGGAGAGGAAGGAATCAGCTCATCTGGAGTCTGGGGCGTGGGCTGCTT